TATATATATATATATATATATATACTCATTATTCATCCAATAAGAATTCATTTTATTTTCATGTCACATTAATTAACGATTTAGATGATGTGGATGAATTTTTGTTAGATATTTGTGTAAAAATAAATTCATTGATAATATATATAAACTAAATTTATCCTTTATTTTATATTTAACTATTACTTAAAATATTTAATTTGGTTTTCGATTTTATATATATTAAAAATATTAAATATTTAAATAATATTCTTATTTATAATAATATTTTAGTATAATTGTTAAAGTGAATGATCTTAGTATCCTACAATGATAATATATATAATTGGTTAAATATTTTTGTTTTTACTAGTTAAAATTTGAGATCAATTTTTTTTATATAATTTGATGCATATTTGTTAAAGATAGAATAAAAAATCTAATATAAAATTCTCAAAATGTTAATAATTGACTTTAACTTGTAGAGGATCGTGTCTTATTTTTCATTACCTTATATTTCAAATAAAAAGTACTCCATTAATTTTATTGTTAACCATTCCACATGAGCATTAATTAGAGAAAATATTTCCTAAATGTTTAAGCTTGACAATAAGAATTGTGAATTTGAGATAATATATATAGTGTTGTTGTTAAGAATTGGAATCCAAAGTTTTGATTGTTGATGGATGAAGGGGAACAGAGCATCATGTGAACAGTTTTGGAAAGATCGAGTGTTGAAAACGAAGAAGGAATTGGTTGGTCCCTGATGAGCGATGAGGATCAGTTAATTTGTAAACAGAGATGGCAGTGATGACACATGACAGCAACACGCAGTCAAACTCCATCGTTTCCATCATTCCTGCGTCCTGCTCTCACCTCTCCTCCAAAAATATTTATTCCATTTTTCTCTCACGTTGCCATGCATTTTCCATCTGCTAAATAAATCAAATCAAATCTCCCAAATTTTTAATACTCAAACTTATCATTTTAACCATTATTTTTGACATATTCATTAATCATATTTTAATTTAATTAATCATTTTATGAGACAAGGCCAAAATGCTCAATTTAAACTTTTCCATTTCCTCCTTTTTTATTTATCATGCATGGATGCAGTGTATTTATTTAGAAGAATCTGGGGGTAACAATATTTTAAAAGAGGAATCTGGAATCTCTTCGGTTAAATCACCTGAAAACCTGTCACCTGAATCCTTATTTGTTTACTACTTTTTCTAGCAGTACTACATATAT